AATAATCTTGAGGTTAATGATGAGCTTGGGGAAAGTGATCACAAATCACTCAGTTTTAATATATCATGGAATTCCCCTAATAATGGCAATCAAGTCTCCGTCCCTGACTTTCGCTTGGCTGATTTCATAGGACTGAAAAATTACTTAGGTGGGCTGAACTGGAATGACCTGACTAAGGGTCAGGTAGGTGGTGATGGTTGCCGATATGATGCTTTCCAGGCATAGTTCTAGCTGCTCAGTCAAATTATGTTCCAAATAGGGAAATCAGATCAAACAAAAATGATCCTAAATGGATGAACAATAGATTAAAATATCTGATTGGTCAAAAGAGAGGCATATATAGGCAAATCAAAAGAGGAGAGGGGCAATTGAGAAATCGATATATTCAGTTAAAGAGAGAAATAAAAAAGGGAATTAGAAAAGCAAAAAGAGATTATGAGGTTAAAGTTGCAAGAGAATCGAAGACTAACCCAAAAGGATTCTTTCAGGTATACAGAAGTAAGATCAGGGACAAGATAGGCCCACTCAAAAGTTCCTCGGGTCAGCTCACTGACAGTGATAAGGAAATGTGTAGAATTTTTAACACATACTTCCTCTCAGTTTTTACACAGGAGGATACCAGCGATATTCCAGTAATGATAAATTATGTAGAACAGGACGATAATAAACTGTGCACTATTAGGGTCACAAGTGACATGGTCCCTTAGGCAAATAGATAAATTAAAACCTAACAAATCCCCAGGCCCTGATGAACTGTATGCAAGGGTTCTAAAGGAATGTAAAGAGGAGCTTAGCACACCTTTGGCTAATCTTTTCAACATATCACTACAAACTGGCATGGTGCCAGATAAGTGGAAAATGGCAAATGTGATACCTATTTTCAAAACAGGTGACAGGTCCTTAGCTTCGAACTATAGACCAATAAGCCTAACCTCCATAGTGGGAAAATTTATGGAATCAATAATTGCCGAGGCAGTTCGTAGCCACCTTGAAAAGCATAAATTAATCAACGAATCTCAGCATGGTTTTACAAAGGGGCATTCCTGCCTTACGAATTTATTAACTTTTTTCACTAAGGTATTTGAGGAGGTAGATCATGGTAATGAATATGATATGTGTATATGGACTTCAGTAAGGCTTTTGACAGGGTCCCACATCAGAGACTATTGAGGAAAATTAAAGCACAGGGAATAGGAGGAGAGATTTTTTCCTGGATAGAGGCATGGTTGACAAATAGGCAGCAGAGAGTTTGCATAAATGGGGAGAAATCAGAGTGGGGAAGCGTCACGAGCGTGTTCCACAGGGGTCAGTGTTGGGCCCCCTGCTGTTCACAATCTACATAAACGACATAGATGAGGCATAAAGAGCGACATCGGCAAGTTTGCCGATGACACCAAAATAGGCCGTCGAATTCATTCTGACGAGGACATTCGAGCACTCCAGGAAGATTTGAATAGACTGATGCAGTGGTCGGAGAAGTGGCAGATGCAGTTTAATATAGACAAATGCAAAGTTCTAAATGTTGGACAGGACAATAACCATGCCACATATAAACTAAATAATGTAGATCTTAATATTACGGATTGCGAAAAAGATTTAGGAGTTCTGGTTAGTAGTAATCTGAAACCAAGACAACAGTGCATAAGTGTTCGCAATAAAGTTAATAGAATCCTTGGCTTCATATCAAGAAGCATAAATAATAGGAGTCCTCAGGTTGTTCTTCAACTCTATACATCCTTGGTTAGGCCTCATTTAGATTATGCTGCACAGTTTTTGGTCACCGTATTACAGAATGGATATAAAATCTCTGGAAAATGTACAAAGGAGGATGACAAAGTTGATCCCATGTATCAGAAACCTTCCCTATGAGGATAGACTAAGGGCCCTGAAACTGCACTCTCTAGAAAGACGTAGAATTAGGGGGGATATGATTGAGGTGTATAAATGGAAGACAGGAATAAATAAAGGGATGTAAATAGTGTGCTGAAAATATCTAGCCTAGACAGGACTCGCAGCAATGGTTTTAAGTTGGAAAAATTCAGATTCAGGAAGGATATAGGAAAGTACTGGTTTGGTAATAGAGTTGTGGATGAGTGGAACAAACTCCCAAGTACCGTTATAGAGGCCAGAACGTTGTGTAGCTTTAAAAATAGGTTGGATAAATACATGAGTAGATGTGGGTGGGTGTGAGTTAGACCTGATAGCTTGTGCTACCAGGTCGGTTGCCGTGTTCCTCCCTTAAGTCAATGTGACCTGACCTGACTAGGTTGGGTGCATTGGCTTAAGCCGGTAGGAGACTTGGACCTGCCTCGCATGGGCCAGTAGGCCTTCTGCAGTGTTCCATCGTTCTTATGTTCTTATGTTCATTCATTGATACCAGCATCATCGGAAAATTCTGTAGGCCAGTCAACTGAGCTTACTTCTACGGTGAAGTTACTTACTGAAGCCTCATCATGGAGTCGAAAGAAGAACTTATTGTATTCCGTTGGTTGCTTACAAATGTTTGTTAGGAGGAAAGTCGGGTAGTGGTCAGTAGTGTTGTCCGTGATTATCCTCGCTTTTAGGGGGGCTAGTATGTTTGTCCATATATGGTCAATTATGATTTCACTCATCTCAGTTAGTCCTGATTGTTTTGTAATTGCTGGTATGAGTAGTGTATTGTTCATATTGTTAATGAAGTCAGTAGCAGGTTGGTTATCTGTTAGAACAAGGTTGATGTTGAAGTCTCTGGCTAGTAGAAGGTGTATCTGTAATCAGTGCTTTTAGATTATTGCTAAAGGTTGGGATATTAGTATGAGGCATCCTGTATATGGCCCCAATTGCTACAGGTGTTTTTAGATTTTTTACATTTTCCTCGTGTTTTTCTTCTTCCTACTGCTGCTGCACTTCTAACTATCTTGTCCTATAGGGTGCACAATAAAATGCAAATTTGTACAAATATGTAGTCTTGGAGACTGTGAAAGCTAGTGTACTGAGTGGCTGCAGGAAGGAGACCGAGATGCTTGACACTGAGACGCCGTGTTGCCCATTTCCATGATCCAAGTTTTCGTACAGAATACAATATCGACTGGCCAGAAAGCCAGTCGTAAATCCAAGTGGTCAGTAAACAAGTACATCGCTAAATGAGGAGTACCTGTACTGATTTTTGGGCTCCTGGATAGTTGGCCGAAGGACACTTTGGCGATGGACATTTCGCTGATGGACACTTCACCGAATGGTTATAGTGTATGGCCAAACTGGCATTCATCACCTTAACCTAACCTAACCTAATTATCCATTCAGTCTATTATCTATTTCGCCAAATGGCTGTTGGCACAATGTCCGTTTGGCCAACTGCCATTTGGTCAAATGTCTGTCGGCCAAGTGTCCATCGGTCACCTGTCCGGCCACGGATTTTTGCTCTGATATTCAAGAATTATGGAATATAAGCTGTAAGACTGCAGTTGATAGCAGAAAGGCACTTACAATAAATGTAAGACAACAAGTGGTAGTGGAAAGACTTGTAATTGGACTTCTGCGCCAGCCATCGTTGGGAGTGGACGTGTCTCTCTCTCTCGCCTGTGTATCAGTGACAAATTTCCACCGTTCTCTCTGGGATGCTTGTCCTCATCTATTTTGCCTGCCGGGCAAAATAGATGAGGACAAGTAAGCTGATGTATAGGTGCCCCTATATATCGGCTTATTGTAGCCAGCTCCATTTTTTTCCACTCTGCAGAAAATTTTTAACTGTCTTTTGTGGGAAGCCGGTTACTGAACTCAGGTGGGGGTGTAGGTGTCCCTCTCTGCTGGGGCTTGGCAAGGGATTCCACCAGATCTAATTGGAAACTTCAAGTTTCTATCTCTATTTACAAAGGAACTTTTGTTCCTTTTCTTCATCGCCCAGCCTTGGGCAACAAATCTTCCTCGTACCATCGAGAAGCCGGACTCGATACGGCATATGCTGTCAGTGGCCCTGATAAACCCAACAAAGAGAAGACTTGTAATAATAACTGTAAGACCACAAGTGGTAGTGGAAAGACTTGTAATAACTAAGACCACAAATGGTAAGGATTAATGATTTTATTTCTTTGCATAGTTTACAATGTGTAATTACAATTTTGATTTGCTAAGTACAAAGAGAGCCACTATCATGCCAGGACATTTCGGGCAGATTAAACTTAATGCTTAACAGATTACTTAATACTAGGCATATAGTATATCATAGTTGGTTTGAATTGAACATTGTTTTTTATATTTCAACAGGGGAAGTGGTGGTTTAGCAGTAACTGAATTAACAAGTAATTGATTAACAAGTTACAGTATTATATTTTGGCACATTTTCCACAATGAGATTGAGACCATTTTAGTTCTGAAATAATCTTATAATATTTGAAAATTTTTGAGTTGATGGTGGTGATAATATACATATAGTGTTTGCGTGGTTAATTAATAACTATAAGACCACAAGTGGTAGTGGAAAGACTTATAATAACTGTAAGACCACAAGTGACAGTGGAAAGACTTGTAATAACTGTAAGACCACAAGTGGTACTGCAAAGATGCTTATAGCAAAGAATGTCTATTTATGTCTGACTCAGTAGGTGAAAGCTTGTATAACAAACTGTTTGCTGTTTCTCTCTACTACCATATTCCAGAATTCATATTCCTTAATTCATTTTAACAATTTATTACAAAATTTCTTGTGGAAAATATTCACATTAGATCTGGGAAGGAGGGGTGAAAGCAAATCTAAGTCCTTGTAATAAGAACTTTCAATATTGTTTTAGTCATGAAAATTGTATACAGGTGCACTCCTCCACTCATCAGATTTGTTCCTATACTGTTACATCTTTACATAGTTTATTTTCTAACAAAAACATTACTAGCAAGGGGCTAGTAACCCCTTATCCTGTATACATTACTAAATTTAAAAAGAGAAACTTTTTTCTTATTGAGTCATCCTGCCTTGGTAGGATACAGCTGATTCACTGGAGAGAAAAAACATATATTTTAGAACACACCTTAGTTTCCAGTAGTTTGTAGCCACGTTCTCCTCGAGACCAGTCCCAGACAGACATGTTGTGGTCTGGGGCTTCATCTACAGCCACCAACAGACTCCCTCCATCCTGAATAACAGAAACTTGTTACTGTACGTAAAATTTTATCTACATGCCGATCTATAATTCCTGTGCCTGTTTTGCACAGTAACATTAATGGATGCTGCATCTACAGATCTTTTCTCCACCATGGAACCTAAATTTTCAATCCTATGTATTTATGTACTCTCTTTCTCATACACATGTGTTACTGTAGTCTCTTTCTCATAAAGCAAGCAGTAGCAGCAGACCCTAATCATTCTCTAACCCTCTCACTCATACACACATCACCACTTCTTTAATTTATCAATACAACTTACAAGACAAAATAGATATTTTCCTGGTTACCCAGTATTTTGAGGAAACAGGTGCAGTGCAACATTTGAAGATTGATGCAAGCGCCATCTCTATCCTAACAAGGATTTGTCCAATATATGCAGAGTTTAATAATCCTGAGCACTGTAACAATGGTACCAGTAGTACTGTATAAAAATATATACAGTGGTCCCTCATTTATCATCATTAATCCATTCCTGGAAGTGCGATTATCGAAAAAGACGATTTTCAAATCAATTTTCCCCATAAGAAATAATGTAAATACAATTAATCTGTTCCTGACACCCAGAAGTATTAAACAAAAATTTTTTTTACATGAAATATAGATGTAGTACATAAACAATACAATGACACATGATGAATGAAACATTAACAGTATAACACTTTTATTGGCGATTCTTCTTAGTGTATGGAAGACTGGAGGAGGAGAGACATTGGATTAGTTACTGATTGGAAGGGGAATCCCCTTCCATCAACACCTCAGGTACCAAGTGCTTTTCTGGAGTTACTTCTCTTCTCAGTTTCTTAATGCCACTAGGACCAGCTTGAGAGTCACTGGAGTCCTGTCTCACAAAAAAAAAAAAAAAGTGTCCAGAGAGCTCTATTTCTGGCGTCTCTTTAAAACTTCCCTAAAATGGGCCAAGACTCCGTCACTGTACAAGTTGCCGATATGGCTTGCAACATCCTTCTCAGGGTGATGTTTCTCCATAAATCTTTCCAACCTACCTCACATTTCAAAAATCTCCTTAATTTCTGAAGAAGGCACCTTCTTCCATCTCTCTTCCTCCTCCTCTGCAGCAAGATTCTGAGCTGCGATCTGTTCCTGTTCCTGCTGAAGCTCTTGCAGCTCCTCAGCTGGCCAGTTCGGCCACACGTACGCCACTTTCATATTTTTCAATGATGTTTTTCTTAAATTCAATCGTATTTCTCATTTTCTTTACCAAAGGCTTGGCACTAGGAGCTTTCTTTGGAGCCATGGTAGCTTATTTAGCACTTGCAAGCACTAAAATGAGTGAAATATTATGAAATATTTCGTATGAACAAGTGAGGGGACCGTCGCTCACTGGTAAACAATGGCACACTGGTTGGGAAGAGAGGCCGAGGCAGCTCAGTGCATGAGTACACATCCCGGACGAAGGAAGATTAGCGAGTAAACCGACCATTTGCGATCCAATGTTTGGACGAGAATAACGCGATGATTTCCGAAAAGGACGACTATCGAGCCGGATGATTATTGAGGGATCACTGTATTATGTTTTAGTAGAGAGAGCAAATACACTTTAAATAAAATCTTTGTACATTATTATACAGTAGATGCATATTGTACAGTATAACCAGGTATGTATTATGCAAGACTGCAAAATACTGCTTAGCAGGTTTAAAATAGCACACTGCAACATACCTTACAATAGTAACATAATCATGTCTATTGTATTTAGTTCTTCAATATTACATTCACTTTGCTATGCTGTAAACTGTAAGCTACAAATAACTTATAAAGAGTGCCCAGAGCAGGGATGTTACTGATACTCTTGTTCTCAGTGTAATTGATAATGCTGCAGTTAAAATACAGTGAACAGCATCAACTTACCGCTTTGGAGAAGGCCAGACATGCTACAGAGCGTTCAATATCACTGATTCCAATGATGTGAAGGGTGTTAAGACTGACGCTGTCCCAGATGCGAATGTGAGGCTGTAGATGAGAAAGTCAGAGTCATGATGTTAGCTTTACTGTGACAAAAGCAAAAACAGTTGCAAGCCCTGTTGCAACCAATATAAAAATGGCTAGTATATCTCAAAACTGTTAAACAGTATAATCAGTTCTAACAAATGTATAAATAGCTATAATTATTAAGGTTATTTTTCATGTTATCTATCATTATTTAAAAATAAATCTTTCAGTGAACTTTGATCCTTATGTACAAGTGACCTTGCTCTGAAATCATCACCATTTACTCCTGAAAACTGAAATTACAACAATATCTAACATTATACATATTTTTATATGGATTAATATATATTTATGCTTATTTGCATTATATTTAGCATGTCAGTAAAGATGTTTTAAACTATACTATAGGTAAATGTTTAACCATTAAAAAGATCTCTATGCTATATGGAAGCTTAAAAGTAGAAGAAAACAATACACCAACAGGTTTCCCAGTCCCAAAAGCTTTTCTAACAAATTAAAATTCTAATATGGAAAATATTCTCAGCACTGAAATGAAGTGACCAAAAACACTTGAAAAGAAAGCTGTCACAACTTAGAGCACAAACATCACACTCCAACTACTATTTATGTGTTATGGTAGCTTTGTATCCCTTGGTATGGCTGTCAGTTAATGTAACTTTTTCTTATAGGAAAGTAAAATACTTTGTACAAGTCATCAACAATAGATCCTACAAATTCTTGGCCTTTTGTTGCAAGTGATTATATGATTGTGATAATTAGTAGTGGTTCCAAAAGGCTTATTTATGTATACAGTGGAACCTCTAACTCTACTCCATTTACCCAACCATAAATCTTGAGCATTGACACATATTTTATTGTGGGGACCAGTGGCATCATAAGCAGAAAAGAGCATATGTGAATTTACCTGGGTGGGAGGTGGAAGAGAAAGTAAGGCACTGCTGCTATTGGAAAATGCAGGAACACACTAAAACAACCAAACTGCAGTCATATAGGTTTTGTTCCAATGTCACATCTGTCATTCAGCCTTTAAACAGAGATAGTCCCTAACACTGTTGCCAAGTTACAAGATGACTGGACTGATGATGTGAAAGTTGTCACCCCAATGTATTCCTTCAGTCATGAGGACTGATTACAACTTCAGACAGATAATAAAGGCACACTTCACTTATACCATGTGATCAACAGACAATGAAAATTTCAATCACAGTCCAGGATTACACAATGTTTTAAGAAAGTCAATGTAGTGTGATAGACAATTCAGCTAATAGTGATCCAACTAGCACCTCTTACTTATATGTAAGATGGCCACAGATGACAATACTGATGACCTTAGTATCATCACAAGCACACTGGTTCTAAGGCCACAACTTGATCACCAAACTTATCTTCCTTTATTCCCTCTTTTTTATTATTCTCCTCTCACCTCATTCTCCCTTCCTCCTTCCTCTTCTTCATCCTTCTTCCACCTAAGCAGAGTCCTCGATGATCAAATAAACATAATTATAAATGTAATTTTGGAAAACAAGTAAAACTGCTCAGCCATGTGCAGAGAATAAAGGTTCCATTGAAAGCTTAACTACTTGCTGACCAACTCTCCAGACAAAACTTGCCAACAACAACCTTTCATTATTGCAAATAAATGACATAATCTAACAACTTTGCCTGGACTTTCGTTAGACATAAAAAGTAGAATAATCTAACAAATTTGTCTGAGCTTCTAACAGAAATAAGAGTAACAATGTAAAAACTTAGTATCTGCTCCATAATTACACTATGAGCAATCTAACAAATATTTTTTTTCCTTTTTCTATGGCTCCACTTCTAAACACTAGAGATATCTGCAACAGACCTAACATTATATATTTGAAACTTTTTTTTATACTAGATATACAGTACTGTAATTTTTTTGTTTATTCAGAAAACAGTATGCATGGGGTATCCCAGTTGTAAAAATTCACATAAATCTGAATTGTATATATCACTCTTTGAGTTGAAAATTATTAAACATTCTCTTTTATGAAAAAAATCTGAAAAAATTTTCCCCAAAAAATAAAAGTTGAAATCATTGCTTTCTTATGGAAAATCTGAGTTTCAGAGAAAATTCTAAATATACCAGTATTTAACAAATTTTATAAAATTTAAATTACTGCAATAGAGCTCTGATTATCAGAGTGTACTTCATATTACTGCATTATCTCATATCTAATGAGTCTTTCCATCTAATTTTCCACCAACACTAAGCAGTCTAATCAAGCTTTGCTTAAATTTATGCCACCTCATACTGTATATGGTGGCTTATCCCTTTGAGGGTCCGTCCCATAGTTCTACGGCTTTGAAGCCTGAGTCCAAGCCGCAGAACTACAGCTTGAGCTCAGCTCACTCAGATAAGCAGTAAGTGGTACATTTGGGCCTAGATATGAAAGAATCCATCTATGTGGCAAGTGTGCACCACATATAACAAATATTGCAGCACGCAGTGAATAATGAGAAAAAAAACTGCGACCATATTTTTGGATTAAAACAGCAACTTTGTAGTGTTTTTCTAATGTTTTTTACAGTTGTATTCACGATTTCTTGGTCTCATTTGATAGAATAGAAGATATGTTACAAAAATAGAGATGATTTTGATTGGTTTTAGTACTGAAAATGGCTTGAAACTGAGCTCAAAGTAGCGAAAATGTTCAGTTTTTGCCGATGTTCAAGAGTAAACAAATGATGTCACGCATCTAATACACATCGGCTGGTGGGTCTAATATATGTTCACACATGTGCTGATATTATTTATACAATTATTACAACATTACACAATAGTAAATCTTCTATTTTTTGGTGTGAATAAAAATTCATAATGTGAATAAAAAATCAAAATGTAATTCATTTGTAAAGCCTGAAAATGTAACTAATAAACAGAGGAAATGCTATTTTAGTGCCAGGAATACCTACATTCTTTATTCTGGACCCTATTTTGAAACTGGAATATTTTGAACTTTGTGTTAAATTGGCCAATTACCAATTTCTGATCACTTTATTGGGTAGTTGAAACAGCTGACTGGGTGATTTCTTATGCTTAATCGATAAAATGGAAGTAATACAGTGGACCCCCGCATAGCGAACGCCTTGCATAGCGAACATTCCGCATAGCGAACGCTTTGTCCGCTAAAATTTTGCCCCGCATAGTAGACAAAAACCCGCTCAGCGAACTTCGTTCGAGACGCGTCCAATGTGGGCCCTCAGCCAGCCTCACATGTGCCGCCCGTCCCATTGTTTACCAGCTAGCCTCCGCGGTAACATTCAAGCATACACTCGAATATTTCGTATTATTACAGTGTTTTCGGTGCTGTTTGTGGAAAATAAGTGACCATGGGCCCCAAGAAAGCTTCTAGTGCCAACCCTACACCTCAAAGGGTAAGAATACCCATTGAAATTAAGAAAGAAATCATTGATAAGTATGAAAGTGGAGTACGTATCACCGACCTGGTCAGGTTGTACAAGAAACCAAAATCAACCATCGCTTCTATTGTGGGCAAGAAAACGGCAATCAAGGAAGCTGTTGTTGCCAAAGGTTTAACTGTGTTTTCGAAACAAAGATCGCAAGTGATGGAAGATGTTGAGAGACTCTTATTGGTGTGGATAAATGAAAAACAGCTAGCAGGAGATAGCGTCTCTCAAGCGATCATATGTGAAAAGGCTAGGAAGTTGCATGACGATTTAATTAAAAAAATGCCTGCAACTAGTGATGATGTGAGTGAATTTAAGGCCAGCAAAGGTTGGTTTGAGAGATTTAAGAAGCGTAGTGGCATCCATAGTGTGATACGGCATGGTGAGGCTGCCAGTTCGGACCACAAAGCGGCTGAAAAATATGTGCATGAATTCAAGGAGTACATAGAAACTGAAGGACTGGAACCTGAACAAGTGTTTAATTGTGATGAAACAGGCCTGTTCTGGAAGAAAATGCCAAGCAGGACCTACATTACTCAGGAGGAAAAGGCACTCCCAGGACATAAGCCTATGAAAGACAGGCTTACTCTTCTCATGTGTGCCAATGCTACTGGTGATTGCAAAGTTAAGCCTTTATTAGTGTATCACTCTGAAACTCCCAGAGCGTTCAGGCAAAAGAATGTCCTCAAGGATAATTTGTGTGTGCTGTGGAGGGCAAACAGTAAGGCATGGGTCACTAGGGAATTTTTCTATAACTGGTTACACCATGCATTTGCCCCCCAATGTGAAAGATTACCTAACTGAAAAGAAATTAGACCTAAGTGCCTCCTGGTGTTAGACAATGCCCTGGTCATCCTACAGACGTGGCAGAGCGACTTTATGGGGACATGAGCTTCATTAAGGTGAAGTTTTTGCCTCCTAATACCACTCCTCTCCTGCAGCCCATGGACCAGCAGGTCATTTCCAACTTCAAGAAACTGTACACAAAAGCTCTGTTTCAAAAGTGCTTTGAAGTGACCACAGACACTGGATTGACTCTAAAAGAGTTTTGGAAGGATCACTTTAATATCCTCAGTTGTGTAAACCTTATAGGTAAGGCTTGGAGGGAGTGACTAAGAGAACCTTGAACTCTGCTTGGAAGAAACTGTGGCCAGAATGTGTAGACAAAAGGGATTTTGAAGGGTTTGAGGCTAACCCTGAGAGGAGTAGTATACCAGTTGAGGAATCAATTGTGGAATTGGGGAAGTCCTTGGGTTGGAGGTTAGTGGGGAGGATGTGGAAGAGTTGGTGGAGGAGGACAATGAAGAACTAACCACTGATGAGCTGATAGATCAACTTCAAGAGCAAGAGGCCAGACCTGGGGAAACTGGTTCAGAGGAGGGAGAGAGAAATTGAAGGAATTGCCTACTTCAAAGATTAAGGAAATGTGTGCAAAATGGCTTGAAGTGCAAACCTTTTTTGATGAAAATCACCCTCACACAGCTATTGCAAGCCGTGCTGGTGACTATTACAATGACACTGTTGTGAAACACTTTAGGAAAGTCATAAAGGAACGAGAGGTA